GCGACGCTACTTTTAAAACAGTGTAGATTTTCCAGCAGCTAACTACTTTTTCCAGCAAGTAGTGGTGTAGCTACATTCCGTTTTGCGTTCTGACGAGACGCAACTTAACGTAATGTAAATTGCAGCAACTTACGCAATCGTTTGTAGTTTTGCAACTATGCTTGCGTGAATTCTTGCAATACTTTATTGCATTCATGCATTTTTATGATACATGTACACAGAAATTTGTTCTGCTCATGCTTCGTGAATGCATGCAACTATATATTTTTTTATTTGCATGTGCCCAGAACAAAGCATTTGGATTTGCAGAACAGATTAGAAGAAAAACTACTATTCAGCAGCTATCTTTTGCAAGACCACTGAGGTGAGAAAAATACATTTCATTCACGCAAACATTTCTTTCCAGCAAGACCACTAGATGCTGCTGCACCTCTGAGAGAGAACGATATAGAAAGACTCCCCAGACAGTAGAGAGCATGCCAAGAGCACGCATATAAATAAATAAACCAACTCATGTTTCAAAGGTGTATTAAAATACATGCTGTGTATTAAGAGAAGCCTTAAGTTAGCGGTAAGTGAGTGGCTGTATATTGGGCAAGCGTTGCGCGCTGGGACAGGCTGCGGATCGTCTAACAGTTCGGCCACACAGATCATTAGCACACAGGTCTGCCAGAAGGGATGAGTTCAGGGCAGAACTGCTATTCGCTGGGGCCTCATTGCTCAACACTCGTCCGAGCTCGACAACAGCCAGACAGCAGAGTCCGAACGCCACGGCTCCACACGTGGGTTCCCAGCAAATCTGCAGCTCCTCGATGACGTGATGTCCTGGGCTAAAGCATTTGAGAGGTTTAAAGGAATACTACAAAGCCTAAAATAAAAAATCTAAAAAATAAAGTAATCTTTTAGTCACCCACACGTCATTCCAAACCCGTATGCTTTTATTTCTTATTATGTGGAAAAAAATCAAGTCGTACAGGTTTGAATGTCTTGAGGGTGAGTGAATGTATTCGCAGTCAAAAAGTGGAAAAGACAGTGTATTATTCAGTCGTAGCACTCATTTAGAAAACATTTCTGTAACAGTCTAGAAAACAACAACTGCTGAGATGTCATTGTGTTATCTGTGGAAAAGCATCCTTATTTTCTGTGAATGTGTCGCTGTAATTACTGCGCCAGTTCAAAAACACTCCAACATATGGTAGTGTCTAGGAAAAAGCCATAAATTGATTTATTTTCCATGCAGTGTAGTCTAATTAATTCAACTACAAGTCTGTTCTTTGCTAAAGCAAAATTAGCTGGTTTGGTAGAGTAAGCTAAAACATTTTTCAAAGTATCTAGTTTCTAATAATTATAGTACAACAAAATAATGAATTAAACCACAAGGTCATGCACATTACAGTGATTTTTACCATGGTAAACAAAGCAGAATGACCAAAGCCCATGGTAAAAATGGTTTATCGCATCTATACAAATGTGATTAAATACAGAAATGTTCAAACAAATAAATAGTTTTATTAACAATACAACAAAAAAAATAACAATTATGCTATCCGGTGCATTTAATTATATAATTCAACATGTTTGCTATTTTTTTGTAATTATAATTAAATTTCGAGAAAATTATAATGATCAGTCGATAATTCTGTATGTTTACACTTATTTTTTTATGTTTTTAATTAATAAATGTTGCATTTTTATGCTTTTCATAATATATATATATATATATATATATATATATATATA